GTCCTCCCAGTGCCAGGCCACCCCGCAGCACTACCACGAGGAAGCGTCCGCACTGCCCTGGTCCTCCCTGTTGCTCGTCGCAGCCGCAGTCACCAACCCGCTGCTCTACGTCTTCACTGATGACCAGGTACGGCTGCGGCCACGACTCAAACAGGTTTCGGAGTCGTCTCTTCTTCCTTCTCTTATTGGGTTTTAGACTCGAACGCCCGAATAATGCGATTCTTGATGAAAGTTGGTGAGGTTCAAAGCTTCATTGCCAACCCATTTTGGTACGCGACTGTTCCTGCTTTCGTTCAACCCAACAAATAAGGAGCAACTACCCTAACGAAAACCCTATTCCCCCTAATTCCAAAAAGAAAAGTTGATTTTCTTCTCTCCCCAAATGATTCCAGGTCTCCTCCGTGACGCTGTTCCTCCTGTCCCGCTTCTGCTGCTGGTGGTGCGAGCGACGCAAGCAGCGCCTCGTGCCTCGCCAGCAGGAGCCACACGACACGGAGACCAACGTCTACGTGACCAACGACACCGACCATCTCGTGTCCGACAACAGCTAAAGTGGCGGCCGACCCTCGCACTCGCGCTCTACTTGTCACCCATGATCTCCATAAAGCTTCGAAGCGCACAAAGAACGCTGTAGTAACGCTTTTTGAAGGAACTTTCATACGTCTCACGGTTAGTCCGGTCAGTCCGGATGGGGCCCCAGAGCCCTCCAAAATACAGTACCTAAACAACTTCTGTAACTAGAAGGTTACGAGTTCAGGTCAACTTGTCTGTGCTTAGCTAGATCCCCAAGACACAGGAAACGCTCCACACACACAAGACAAAAATATAATAGTTTCCTCGCTTCCTCACCCAACTTCAATCAGCTTTCCTCCAAACTCCTACTGGTGCTCTTGGTATAAACGGTATCTTCTCTCTAGTGTACAATGCAATAAAACATTTCAGTTACAAGCTCTCTTCCAAGTCAGATTTTTTGCTCAAATGTATCGGTTTTAATTAAAAAACACTCCCCGTAACATGCGACCCGAATGAATCATGAATCTGATTTCACTCAAATGGAAACGTTGATGGATGTTGAGACAAACAAGAACAACTTTATATTCAAATACGTTACTATCTAGCATGCTACCTTCAAGTAAATGCTAGTTTCAAATAACTGCACTGAGGGTGTGACATCAATAGAAATTCTAAAAATCTAATGCAAGAGTGAAACAAATCATATTTTCAGAAAACTGCAATTATTTAAACCAACATTGCACCAACAACTTCAAAGCTTTGCTTCGATTTTCATGCAACACATGATTCATTTGGATGAGAATGCTATTGTAATTATCTATCATTTCATTGTAATCCTTATACTCACTAAACTTTCCAGATATTTTCACTTTTTTACAAGTATTAGAGAATTACCAGAAATGTTAGAATAAAGACACTTCTCGTTGTGAAAACTTCCATAAGTCTGTCTGCAAAACTTATAGAAGAATATAAGAATGCCAAAGGACTGAAACAAAAGAATTCTCCATAATTTAATGTCGTCAAGGTTAATGCCAACTCAAAGACTCCTTAGAAAATAGCTTTACTTGTACCATTTAAATGTAGCCTGCCTGAGGAACAGCTTTATGTGTAATGTACGATTATAACTCATTAGCTCTTCATATTGCAATAACTTTCCAATATACTGATAGGCATTACCCATAGCATATAGTAAAAAATAAAAATAAAAAAAAAGCTTAAATGAAGAATGTTCCTACTGATAAGCACAACTCTCAAGAATTCCCCGTAAAAACTGCTGACGAAAAATAAGTATGGATCTTTTGAATCCCTCTGTGCTACTTGGTCTCACCCTCCCTTTGCTATATTGTCTGAAAGTTCTGACAAGAGGTAGCACCTCGCAAATTCCACGTCAAGGTACAGACTTACAGAATATTTGTGGCTTACTGTTATCGGTACATAGTGGCATCATCCATACTCTTAATGTCTCCATATTTAGGAACCATTGCAATGCAACTCGGGAGAATTTGAAATGCATGCAAGTGGTGAAACACAAAATGGTTTCATAAAGCAATAACCTTCCCCTTGGAAAAAAAATTAAAAATTAAAAAATCATAACAAAACTTTAAAGAATATATCCCCTTTACATTACACCATTTTCTCCACCATTCTGCATTAAGTTAGACAGAAAGAAAACAAGACTGCAGTATAATTTAACAGAATTATAAAATTATACAAATAACATCAGATCTTCCTGACATTCCACTGCACTTATTTCTTCTATACATGTATCTCTTCTTTAAATTTAGAAGAGAGATCGATCTTGCCGTGGTAGATCAAAGTTCTGCTTGGAATAAAGGTGAATACTGTACCGAGAAAGTTATTCATTCTTGGTAATCTAGGTAAAAAAAAAAAAAATATATATATATATAAATAATATCTGCAAACATATGTTATGGTGTGGATGTGTCCTTTCTGTTTCATCGCTGGGATTTTAATTTATGTGTAACAATCAACGGATAGTTTCATTAAGGATACAAGGAGCCAAAGGTAACTACCATAAACGTTTTAAAATCCTGGCTTTTTACATTTACTGTCGATACAAGCGGCATTCCTTTCATCATATCACAAAACATCAAAAATTGCCCAGACTTTGCCTCCTCCCTAGTGGTACATACTATTTCATAAAAATATATAATACCATATATATATATAAATAAATAATATGTGTAGTAATACAATATATCGTTGGTCACTCTATATTCTTGTACAGCACAAATGTATGTATTGTTAAAAGATGGTCCATCCCAATGTGTTGCTATATCAATCAAATGCTTTGTAATGTCACTTCTTCCATTTCCTGTACGAGATGAAATGAAAAAAATAATAATAAATAAAAAAGGACTGCTTTCCTCCTATAAACTTGAACCAGCTTTAACCAAAGATTTCTTTATTCTTAGTTCATGCTACTCTAGATTCGTCTGTATAAACAAGCGCAGTAACAATTTAGACAAAGTAAAAGAAAAAACGAATTAATTAATTAATTAAAATAAATTGTATGGGTAAATAACCTTCAGCCAATGCCAAGGCAACACCTTATCCACTTCATCAGTGTGAAAAGATGACAGCTTGTATGACACTGTTGCTGAAAATCATAGTTACTGTTATTCAGGGAAAATTCACCTTTAAAAATAATAACAATAATGATAATAATGACCCTGACTATCAAAAGTCATTAATTTCAAGATTTTTCAGTATGAGTAGAGGCATTTTCCTATTACTGTACTCTCTATTTATATACTGAACCATTTATTTTTTTAAATGTACCCCATACTGTATAAACATGCCAAAACTTTGAAATACTTTTATTTATCTGAGTGTTATAAATCTATTGTAGCCTAATAACATGTAATACTTATGTCTGTAGAAAATGTCAAATCATTTTTTCTTTGTCTTTGTACAGGAATAGCCACTTTATATCACTGTTCCCCCCAAAATAAGATACCAACTATAATAAATAACAATGGAGTCATGTGCTTATGGACGGATATCTGAGTGTGTGTGGTGTGTGTGTGTGTGTGTGTGTGTGTGTGTGTGTGTGTGTGTGTGTGTGTGTGTGTGTGTGTTGTGTGTGTGTGTGTGTGTGTGTGTGTGTGTGTGTGTGTGTGTGTGCGTGTGTGTGCGATGTGCGTGCGTGTGTGTGAGAGTGCATGTGTGTGTAAATCTGGGTGACCTTCCTTAATCAAACAGAACAAGCTAATCTTTGTTTGTAAATAATCCAATTCCCTGACCTCAAAATGCTTTTAGCTTAATGAAAAAATAAGAACACATCACTCAAATCAATCACATACAGAAAGAAAAATAAACACAGTTTTAAACATAATATAAAATATGGTAAAAATAATAAAAGTAATAGTTATAATAACAATAATAAAAATATCAATATTAATAATAATAATAAAAATAAAATAACACTAGCAATAACAAACATAATAATAATAATAATAATAATAATAATAATAATAATAACAATAATAACAGTAATAATATGGAAACAAACAAATATCTAACAGAGATATAAATGAACAAGATAAGGGTTTGTTTCACTATTTTACACGAGTGATATCAAGTGGCGCAGTTTGTATATTCCTGTTTTGGTTTAAAAAAGCACAATTATTTTCTTAAATGTTCAGAGACACATACACAAACATGCACATGTGCAGATACTCACTCTCACACTTACACTTACACACCCACACCCATTCTACATATGTATATAACTACTTGTGCAGTATAGATTAGTATATGGATTGATATATTGTAAAAACGCACAAAGTAGATTGTGTCATGTTCACTTAGTGTGCAAGTCAGTTGGATGTATTGCATATTAATATTACTTAAACTAAATAATCTAACCTGCTAAGGAATTTTGGCACAATAAATTTAACAATCATGTGAGATGAAAAAAATTATACCAATTCCATATTTTCATTTGTATGAAACTAATCACAATCATAGGCAAATATTGTAACATATTACTGAGGAAAATAGTTTTGAAAATGCAAAGAAATTGCTAGACAACCCTACAGCAAGGATATTTAATACTAAAGGATGTGAATAAAATATGAAGTTTCATTACCCTTCTCACTCCTTGGCAAGAAAGACCTCTAAGGTATATGGATGTGACCAAATGATAATATTTGTAAGTACATACATACATACATAGGCACACACATGCACACACAAACTCTCACTTATGCTCATATGAGCACAAATACACATGCAAAGACACCTACATCTGCATGCATGGACCCCCAAAACACAATGCACATACACATTTACCAACTCACTCATTCTCTTCCTCCCTCCCTCCTTTGCTCTCTCTCTCTCTCTCTCCTCTTAATACTGGTGAGATCCATACACACATGCAATAGCTTTCCATCCTAACATCTTTATGTAAAAAGTTTTTTGTCAAATCTTAAAATGATATGACAATGTCAAATGGCAGACTCTTACACCATAAACAAGATCTGGAAAACTCAATAAATTATTTTAATGTAAATTCACCTTCCACACAAAAAGAGGAAATTATTAAAACCCTTTCACAAAAGCTATACATCACAAATATAGAACCAAAGAAAAGCCTGCCGAAATAAATTACTTTTCAACAAAATGGGAGATTTCCTTCATGAATGGTTATGGTAAAAAGTAAAAAGTACAAAGTATGAAAAAAAGAAAGAAAAAATCATTGTTTCCCATATAATATGTAAAACTGACCTTAAAACTAAGCAAGACAGATGTATATACTGGTACTATGATGAAAAGAAAAAGAGAAAGAAAAAGAAAAAAAAAAAAAAAAAAAAAAAAAAAAATCTAAAATGATATTATACTTACCCAGCATATCATATATTCAAACTTTATCATTCCTTGTCTGCTGGACAGTGACAAGAAGAAACCATTGTGAGCATAATATTTATTTACCTTGACTACTGCATCTCTTATGAACTGAATGGCAGTTTCCATATACACATGGCTGGTTGGAGAGTCATCCCCAACTTCATCTAAATTCTGTAAAATATTGTGAACCTGCAACAGAAGTGCATCATAGGATTAATATTTTGCACTGCAATGAAAACTGCTCATCAGAGTACTGATATATAACACATTGGATGAAATATACGGGCCTTTATTCAAATAATGGCTAACTATACATGAATGTATAACCATAACTATTTATTTTTCCATTCCGTATCAATGATCAATACATCCCTCCATTCACTTCCCAACATTTCTTTCAACTTCTTTATTCACACTTATCTAAACTGAAAATCATAACTTCCCTACATACCTTCTACAACATTGAGAACAAATAAATAAAACAACATGCATACTTACTCTGTAGGATTCTGTAGAGATGAAATTAGCCAAGGATGGCTCACATTTAGCCTTGTCCTCCCAGTCCTGCAGAATCTGCTTGAAACGATTACCTACATATGTTTTAAAGAGTTCTCTCTCTTTTCTTGCTGAACCTTGTCCTTCCTGTAAATAAATAAAAAAAGAATATCACTAAGCACTTGTTTAAAACAAACATTCTACAGCCACTGGCTATCAACGGTTCATAGTTGTTTTACTGTTTCAATGCCAAAGATGAACTTTACCTGTGCCTGAAGCCTAGGTGACTGATATTTAAGCTTCTCTAATCTACTTCGTACTTGTTGCTGGTTCAGTGCTATCTTCAGCCTCTCATTTTCATGCTTCAGGATTAAATCTGCAGTCTCTGTGCTCCCACATTCAGGCAATACTCTAAGCTTGTGTTCCTCCTCCTTCTCCTTCATTTCAGGTGATGTTTTCAACTTCTGGATTTCACTTTTAAGGACAGCATTTTCTAGGAGGCTGTCTAGTTTTTCTTTATGCAGTATATCTGCACGATGCAACACATCCTGCAGATTTGACAAGCCCTTCCTGTAGTCTTCCTGTATGATGTGAAGTTCCTCAATCTTAACTTCATATTCGAACTTGACACACGCCTTCAAAGATTTTGTTGATGATTCTGCAGTCATTAACCCTAGGCAATTCATGATTTTTTGGCTGAACTCTGGATTTTCTGAGCCATGCAATTTGACTAGATTTTGTACATTCATTTGAAGCTGATTCATATTTTCCTCAGCCTGTTTTAATTTGTCTTCAGCGCCCGCAATCACAAACTTCATTTCATTTATTAAAACTTGATACTGCATCTTTTCCGCTTGCAACTCCTGGAACTGTCTTTGGTTTTCCCTCCATGCTTTCTTCTCCATTTCCATTTCCTCGATTCTCCGGCTTAAGTTGGACTTTATGTTCTCTAAAGACTGAATGGCAAAATATTGATCATGACTCTTAACCTTCAGCTTTTCAATCTCATTCTCACATTCCTTCTTGCTCTTCTCAAGACTAAAGTACTTTTCTTTCCAAGAGGCACCAGTACTTTCCTTTTTGCCCTCCAACCCAAATTGCTGCTCCTCATGAGAGATGATCGCTGTATCTGTATCTCCTTGCTCACTGTGATTGTCACCTGACACTGGATAAGTTCCACTTGTAACTGAAGTGGTCTGTGCAGCACGGTCCTCTAGGGATGCTGAAACACTTGCCCCAACATCACTGGTTATCCTCTGATGAGTTGCCAGTTGCACCTCCCTGTCAAGTGCGAGTCTTGTGTCTACTAGTTCTGCCTCCATCATCTTATACTGGTCCATCATCTTTTCAAGTTCTGCTTCCGTTTCATTCTTGTGTCTCTCCATACTGTCACAAGTTTTTCTCAACTGCTCTACCTCTGACACAAGAGCCTCCTTTTCAAGACTAGCATCTTTCATGGCTATTTCCATGGAATGTAGATTCTGATCTGTTTCTTTTAGTTTATTTACCAGTTGCTTTACCTTCTTCTTCATAGATATATTCACACTCATTTCCTCGAGCAGTTCCTCATCGCTCAACCAGTCAACCTGCTCAAGTAACTTGTACTCCTCCTGCAAAGATGAGTATTTGTCTTTAATCTCCCCGAGTTCACGTTCCTTCTTCTCCAGATCAGCTTGGAGCTCCAGATTTCTCTCTTCACAATGCTGCAAGTCAGTCACCCTGTTCTGGAGATCCTTAAGAGTGTCTCTGAGGGTGGTCACTTCTTTTTCCAATTCGACTTTGACTTTTACCTCTTCTTGAAGCTTATTCACTTCAACATTAAGTTTTTCAATATATTCAATTTCTTTATTTAATGATTCCTTTTCTTTGAGCCAGTTCTCTTTCTCTCCTTGAAGTTCCTTATATTTTAACTGCAGGTTCTTGTGATCTCCTTCAAGTTCACTCAGCTTCTCTTTTGCTGAATCATACTTTTGCTGAATGTCCTGCATCTGAGTATTCAAATCTTCTTTTTCAGCTTTCCTCTGTGCAAGTTCTTTAGAAATGGCACTCATTTGATCACACTCTTGTTTCAACCTTGACAACTCGATGTTCTTTTTCTCAATATCATTCTGGAGGTCTGCATTTATCTTTTCGTAAGACTCCAGCTCTGAGCATTTTTTTTGGAGATCAACTTTAATGTTTTGGCATACAAGTAATTCCTTTTCCATCTCCACTTTCATTCTCACTTCATTTTCAAGCTTACTAACTTCTGCATTCAGTCTCTCCACATACTGCAGTTCCGCATTTAACGAAGCCCTTTCCTGAATCCAGTTTTTCTTCTCCAACACAAGTTCTTCATATTTCTGCTTCAGGTTCTCGCTCCGTCCACGGTATTCCTCTAAGTTCTTCACGACAGTATCACACTGCTTCTCTGTATTCTGAAGCTGCATTTTCAACTCATTTTTGAAACGTTCATTCTCTGCCAGTACCTTATTTTTGTTCTCTAACTCCTTATCTAGCATTTCACTCTTAGCTAAAAGATCCCTGCCTTTCTCTAATTCTATTTTCAGTTGCTCTTCCACTTCTTGTCTCTTCTCTTGTTCCTGCTCTAATTCCTTAAGCTTGTCTTCATTTTTCTTCATCATGTCTCGCAAAGTAGACTCTAGTATCTGGACCTTATTCCTCTCAGCTTCTAAATTTTCCAAAAGTTTTGCATGGTCTTCTTGTTGCAGCTTTTCCAAAGAACTGATTTGTTCATTTACTTTTGTCAGTTCTTTTTCATGTGCTTCTTTGAGCCTTGTAATCTCCTCTGAATGTTGTTCACTGAATAAAAAATAGAAAAGAAAAGTTATTTTTTGGCACACATTTAACTTTGAGTATGTACACATTATGATGTCTAAAATCTCTCTCTCTCTCTCTCTCTATCTCTAAAAAAAAAAAAAAATCTTGAAACCCTTTTGCTTAGTGTCTACTATTTTCTCTCTACACAGTATTAAACTTACAACTATTAACATCTACCGAACATAAGGAGGAAAAATGTACCCCATAACAGACAATACCTGATCTTCTGCTTTATCAGTGTTATTTCACCACCAAGCCGTTCATCAGCAGCAGCCAGCTGTGTCTGCTGCTCTTCTTTAGATGCCTGTAATTCAACAGTTACATCCTGCAGCTTCCCCATAAGATTTTGAATCTAAAGAAAATATAAGATATTAATGGGAAGAAGAAGCACTCATACAGATAAAAAACAATTCAATATAAGAAGATAAGCTTAAATAATTTATAATCCTGATTTGAATTCATTGTAAAAGCTAATTCTTGTTGCAAAACAAATATCTTTATCTCTCATACTAGTTATGTCTACTAATTCATTACTGATTATAATATATGTATATCAAATATCTAATGCAGTGGTGGGCAAACTATAACCCAGAATTGTCTAAATCAAATCATATCATATGACATATACCCAAAGCAATTATGTGGAAGATTATTTCAATCTAGTTTTTACTTTTATCTATGTCTGAGAATAGGAATAAAAAATAAGATAAACTGGAAATATAAGCTATATATGTATCCTCTGGAGCTGGCTTGGCCGGTCTGTCAAATTTCAAAGTGCAATTTTACCCAAGTCAAAAAGTTTGCCCACCCCTGATCTAAAGTCCTTTTCTCAATCATCACTTCTTAACTTGAGAATACTTTTTCTATAATAATATGTTTAAATGATCAAACTAAATACTAACTTCTGAAACTGTTTGTTTTTGTTCCTTAGAAAGTGATGCAATTCTCTCTCTTGCTTCGGTAAATTTTTCTTCCGCTTTCTTCTTTTCCTCTTCTATAAGTGCAAGATTTGCTTCACCAATCTTGTTCTTATTTTTCAAGTCTTCATTTTCAACTTGCAATTGCTTGCACTTTTGTAAACACTGCTTGTATTTGTGTTCGACTAAACTACATCGCTCCTCTTTCTCCGTCAGCTGCCTACTTATTTCCTCTAAAAACTGGCGATCCTGATCTATAGTCTGTTGGACGGCTATTAACTGTAAAGGTAACATTTCATAGAAATTATTAGGTATCCAGACATCTCTCATGTAACTTTGCTGTTTTCAAAGCACTTGTAAGTACACATCTTATGGATGCTGAAAAACAGTAAACACATATCTTAATACTAGAAGTAAGTTACTGACATTTCCTTTTTCCTCATGGGTGTAAGTTCACCTCAGACCTAGAGAACACACTGAGCACTCTCTCCTCACCTTATTCTTTAGCACCAGATGTTCCCGAGGATTTACCCCTGTCGCCCACTTCTTGGACAAGGCATCAGTTGCCTCTTGAAGCTGTAACTTTAGTGTTTCCACCTCCCTTCCAAAATTCTCCGTCTGCTGCGCTGCATCTGTCAAGGCCTCATCGCGCTGTTGCACCAATTCTGCCAGTCTTGTTTGTAGCGTGCCTATCACCTGGTCACGCTGATTGAGTGCTGACTGGTATTCCATTATCTATATGGAAAAAAAAAATGTTGACAGGAAGAGGTTTGAATGCATCTCAATTACAAGCTAAGAAAGAAAGAAAGACAGAAAGAAAGAAAAAAGGAAGAGAGAAAGAAGGAAAGAATGAAAGGAAGGAAAAATGGCAGAGAGAAAGAAAAGAAAAAAGAAGAAGAAGAAAAAAAAAAAAAAAAAATAAATATCAAACAACAGAATGTCTACAGCTAATCTATCTGTAAATTTGTCTCTATCAATCTATAGATAGATAGAGATACATAGATACTGATGTAGATGCACTTATCTCTATGGCTGGATATAAACATGCATGCACACGCACACACAAACACACACACACACACACACACACACACACACACACACACACACACACACACACACACACACACACACACACACACAGACAAAATTCATAAAACATCTCACATGCTAAAACCTATATGCTAATGGCACCTTCCTTTATCAACCTGCCATATGGAGAAACCACAGTAAAAAATCTGTACTCCAGATACGAAAAAGACTGTAAAATGCAAACCTTCAATTTGTACTGATCCAAGACCTTCTTCTCGACAGGAGATACATTTTGCGGTGAAGCCTGCTGTTGTTGCTTAAGCTTCTGGTTTTCAAACTGAAGAGCTTCAATTGCAAGATCTTTTGCTGTGCAGAGTGAATAAATCAATAAATGATCAAGTAAACAAATAAACAAATAAATGAAAAAATAAATACATCAAATTTTAAACAACATCATGACCTTGTGGCAATTCCTCTCGAATATCCTCATTAAACTACTGATCAATATGAATCTACGATCACATTTCAACGCAGCAGTGATAATACCTTACAGCAGAGCATTTAACTTATAACACTCTTGAACACAGCTCTCTTAAATCATACAAAGAGAGCAGAAAAATGAAAATTAAAGAGCACATCTCAGGGACTCTTTTGAAAAATGTAAGTAATTAATCAACAACTCCCTGGACAGCTTACTCTGAACTTCCTCCTGTAGCTGGATAATAAACGCCTGGTCCCCTAGAGTCTGGGAAGTTCCCCCTCCTCTGCCTTTTCCATCCATCTGGGGGGGGAAAAAAAACAAAAACAATGATTAGCTCACGACTCATTAGTTCTAGTCCTAACATGGAAAACAATAAATCTATATAAACATCTGACATCACCAAGAATAGACTTAAAAAAAAAAGAAAAGAGAGAGAGAGAGAGAGAGAGAGAGAGAGAGAGAGAGAGAGAGAGAGAGAGAGAGAGAGAGAGAGAGAGAGAGAGAGAGAGAGAGAGAGAGAGAGAGAGAGAGAGAGAGAGAGAGAGAGAGAGAGAGAGAGAGAGAGAGAGAGAGAGAGAGAGAGAGAGAGAGAGAGAGAGAGAGAGAGAGAGAGAGAGAGAGAGAGAGAGAGAGAGAGAGAGAGAGAGAGAGAGAGAGAAATATAAACAATGCATATCAGTATAGAGATCTAGAGACTCTCTTAAAGAGATTTAGTTCAAGAAAAGATTTTTTAGAATATATAAATACCTTCTCTTCTCTATTTAGAAGCTCTTCATTAGAAAGTTTTCTTCTCTTGGGACTTTCCTTCCTGTCTTCTCCATCTAGCTTATTCTTTGTCTGTTGCGTAGTCTGGAAGAAAAGTTATTTAATTCAGTATAAAAGATGTGATTTAAAAACCACTAATCAATTCAATTCAGAATAGAAGACACAAATCAAAATACACTTATCAATTCTCTAGTAATGATTAGACTATCATTTTAAGGTGCTATCACACTAGCACTTTTTCCGTAAATTTTTTGATAATTTTCTGACCCCCATTTTTTTTTAGCGAATTGTCGATTTTTCAGTCAGACAATAATGATCGTTTCCGTCTGAAAACCTTTCCGTCAACTTTTTCAGCCAAGCAAAGTCAAATCAAGAGCTATATTCTAGAATATTTGTATTTATGTTAAATAAAATTGACAAAAAATTGACGAAAAAAGTTCTAGTGTGACAGCGCCTTAAAGCACATTTCTCTCATGAGGGTCATAGAGGGTTTGCAGGAGAGTTGCAAAGCCTTGGAGAAAAACTGCTGTAGACCAATTTGCTAGGTTTTCAGTTGTGTTAATAATAAGAATATACTATGCAGCCATGACTTCAAGGAAAACTATATTACACTGAGGTAAATAAACTGTTGAATAATGTTCTTACTCTTAGCCTACAAATATACAGTTAGAAATATGAGAATCAAAACAGCTGGTGTCATGGGATCATGGATGTGACGCAGAGTGGAGAAACAGGGTGTCAAGTGTAATATGGTTGGGATCTACTGCTATGAATAATAACTTGTGGCAACAAAGAATAAAATACTGGTCTGATAAAATCATACATGGACACTCCTCATTTTTCTTAAACTTTATTATACAACTGGGATATTGTGGTTATCTTATCAGGAATCTTTTTTCTCTAAGCTTGTTATCTATTAACAAATGGAATATATTATTCCTACATAATGATAAGAAATGATGGAAAAAAAACATAAACTTCTAAAAAGCACCTGTAAACAGATTTCGTTCAGTAGAAAGACAGAATATACAAGACCTTACTGATAACAGGTAATACAGGTAATATGTTATCAGTGTTCTGAAAGTATGTCAACCAACCCTCCAGTGATCCACTCTAATAGAAGAGCTTTATAGGGAAGATATTTCCTCAAAAATAGAACCATATAAAACTTAGCTGTCTAATGTAATAAATGACTGACACTACAACTTACCAATAAATACCCTAGCTAATGATAAAAAACTAATGATTCATCAGGAACCATCATCATTAATCTCCCAAGTCAACATTAAATATCTCATGATAAAAATTCCATGTCATCTTAATTGTTGTTGTCATAATCATCATCATCATCACTACCACCACCACAATCATCACCATAACTTCTCACATCATATTTGCTACAACTGTGACATTGCCACATCTTTTACAAATAAACCTATTCAACACATTCGTGGTATCATCAGGCATGAGTAGTCAAAACTGGCGGGATGTTTTTCTGCATCCTTTTACCTACAAATGAGTCACTAATAAATCTCATATTCATATCTATCAAGTTTCCTTTAGCCTTACCCACCATATCATCTACAAAGGATGAGCGAAGGGCATAATACACAAAATTTAGATAAAAAGTATAAAAAAGATGAATTAATTTGCAACATATGACATGCAACTGACATATTTCAATTGAGATTAATTTTGATGAATGTTTATTGAAATGTCTCAATTACATCTCTCGTGTTTTGAATTTATTTGGGCTTATTTGTACCCTAGTTTGTGAGCTATTGCCATTACCCTCTTTAACCTGTAGCTCTTCATACAGTCATGTTTTGAAGGTGACAGTGAGGGCGAGGATGATAATGGTGATGGTGATGATGGTGGTGGTGGTGATAATCATCATCATCATCATCATCACAATTGCCATAACAATAGTATTAGTAATAGTAATTATAATAACAGTAGAATAATATCAATAATGATGATGATAATATGAACATCAATAACAATAATAATGATAATAATAATAATAATAATAATAATAATAATAATAATAATAATAATAATAAAGATTATAATAATGGTAAAAATCATGATAATAATATTAACAGTAATAATAATAATAATAATAATAATAATAATAATAATAATAATAATAATAATAATAATAATAATAATAATAATAATAATAATAATAATAATAATAAATAATAATAATAATAATAATAATAATAATAAATAATATATATAATATATAAAATAATAATAATAATAATAAAAAATAATATACTACTACTACTACTACTACTAGCAATAAGAATAACAATAAAAATAATAGAAACAATAATAATGATAATGATAATAATTACAATAAGGAAAATTACAATAAAATACTCATGAAAATAATAATAATAACAAATTATGACAATATGATAACAAATACAATGAAAACAATATTAACAGCAATTATGATTATGATAACGACAATAACAGTGACAGTGACAATGACATTGACAACGGCGATGACGATGACAAAAACGAAGATGATGACACTGACAATGACAATGACAATGTTGATGATGATGATGATAACACTACTATGACATTGACAACGGCGATGACGATGACAAAAACGAAGATGACACTGACAATGACAATGACAATGATGATGATGATGATAACACTACTACTACTACCACTACTGATGATGATGACGGTAATGCTCCTACTACTAACACTACTGATAATGATATAAACATCAATGATGATAGCAACAATAAAAATATGTTTAAAAAATATATATACATTATATACAAGATAACTTATCCAAGCCTTTCCATTAAAATTCAAACTGGCTAAGCTTTACAGCTAAGGTTAAGCTTTATTACTGTAACGTCTTGCCATAAATAAAAATTAGTTAATATCAATCATATTTTTCTCAACAAACAAGTATATCATCTACTCTTATCTATACTATGTTGAGGGAGCCCTCGCACCCGAGAACAAAGTTTGTTAATCATGATTGGATTTTTTGGAAATTTTAAAAAATTATAAATCTCACTTATCCATTGACTGAACTTGTTGAAAAATTACCACATATAATCTATAGCA